ACACACTAAGTACTACTTTGTGATGCCCATTTGTTCAATCAGCCTCTTGTTGATTGAATTTTGTATTTGGTTTTCCAAGACTACTCCATTTAACACGAGCCTTCTTCCTCCTGACATCCTTGGCTGATCATATCATTGTCTATTTCTTGTCCCACATGTTCCTGTCCTCTTCCTCCAGTTTGTGCTCCATTTTCTATGCAAATGAGCAACCTGTCAGAGATTTCTATCTTCTATGAAAGTGAACTTTGTAAGATTTCAATTCAAGTTTGGAATGCATTTCTACTTGAGGACCATTAGTAACCTCCACTCTATGATCCCTTACTTGTAGTAGTAGTAGTAGTAGTAGTAGTAGTAGTAGTAGTAGTAGCTATGTGGCATTCACCAGTACTACTAGTAGTAGTACAACTACCAAGTTGCTTGATTACAGCCATCAGTATAAAGCTGTTTCTTAGTCTCCTTTGCACCCAAAGCTGCTTCTTAGTCTCCTTTGACATTGCAGATTTTCCACAGGAGGTCCCTTTTATTTTATAGGATGAAGGATCAGTATAAGTGACACAGATTTCAATTTCCAGTACTAGCTGTGCATAACATTGTTGTCTGAGATAGAGTAAAATTTGCCCCAATTTTAAGATTCCAGAGCTGATCAATAGGTGAGTATAGGATAATCAACAGTCATAACACTTTGCTGAAGAGCTTCAGAACAAAAGCTAAGAATATCATTTCCCAGCCATGTTATTGAGGTGGTTAAGAATCATCCACACTTCTTACATCATCACATGGCAAAATCAACTGAGAATTCCTGTTGTTTGATTCATAGCATTCTAAATTGGAGCCAGAGACTGGAAATATTTCATTCTATTAGTACTAATTCTTGTGGTGTTCATCACTCTAKTACTACCACTGTTGGTATACTAATTGGTTTCATTCAGGACTGGTGCGTTCCAAAAACTAAATAGTGCCAGTTCCCATAGAACCTCCAATTCAAAGCAAAATGTACAACCAARAGCTTGAAAGAGGCATTTATATTWTTTCCTTAGTAGTTGGGCAAAGAGCCATTCATTTTAGCATTGCATTCGTTTTGCAAACCGGARAAGGCACAACATTGTATTACCAGAATTCAGAAATCAAGCTCAAAAGATATAAAATTTGAATGAAATTAAAGAAGGGCTATCACTCTTAAGTGAAGAAAGCAGAAAATACGAGACATGAGAGGCGATTTCGGTCACCCCAACATCTTTCGCTTCTTCGCTGTGTTTTGGTACGGCCTCAGGACGTATTCGTTGTCCGCTTCCTTTTGATCCATCGTTCCCAGTCGGATTTGGTAGAGTCTAAGCTCGAACCGGGGTCCCACCTCGTGGAGCGTCACAGAATCGTGAGTAGGTTTGCTGTACATGTGGTGCCGGAAGGAAATGAAATCGTTGTCGTTCGAAAAGGTCACCACCCGCTTTGTGTCCGGTCGTGGAACGGGAAAGAGGCACTTGAGAATATTTCCCACCCGTTTCCCCAGCTCGGAATGAAAATTGTTCAGTATGATRTGTGGATAGGCTTCCGACATGGGCGCCGCGGGGGGATCGAGATCGTGCCTCATAACGGCATTGTTAATGCTAAAGTAGGCGGTCGGTCCTAGCGGCAGGTGGCAAACAACCAGGCCATCGGGTTCGCCGCGGGTCTCCTGGACGACGACCACGTCCGTGAATTCCGATTGCCGACACGATTCGATCAGTTCGTCAACCCGGTTGTTTCCCCTGTTGATTCTCGTTGAATTCGGGATTAGAAGCTTTACCTCCTTGGAGAATTGTTTCAATCGTGATGAGGGATCGCGGGACGTGGTGACGCACACCCTTGGTTCCAGCAATCCGGCGTCTCCGTATTCGTTATCGATGTGCGATCGGGGTGTGTCCGTGGTAATGTCCTCGGCGTCGATCTGTTTCTGAAGCTTGTCGTACGACGCGCGAACCTCAGTCGGTAGGGGCTTTCCCGAGGCGAGGGCCTCCCGAATAACGCGTTTTTGTTCGTACGCTGCYTTTTCTTTCCCCTCGAGCGATTTGCGGTACAAGTATTCCCTGCGAAGCCGTGTTTGGCGACGGCGGGAAGCGGCATCTCCGGAGGCTGGCATGGTGGATTTTCTGGTTGTAATTGCTTGCTTATTTTTTTCAGTGAATTTCGAACGGTCAGGGCGCTAGTTTCGTTTGGTCTTACAAGTAATCTACCCTCCGGTTCAACTACTGACAAATATTCTTTTTGCGACCGATAACATGATCGCAAAGATGTTCTTGTGCTTTTTGAGCAAATTTTGCTGGTGACAAGAGGTGKACACCGACGAATTACAGACTACAGATATGAGTATTAAAAATGGACTCATACGATTAAAACCAAATTCTACTCAAAACAACAATGCCATGTTGTACCGTTACAACCGAATTCGTACCGATCATCTCTAGYTACAGCATGATGTGCTTGTGCTCTGCTGTTGAGGCAATCGATGGAATAAATTTAGGTTGCTATCCCTTTGTATGATACTATTGGGGTCGACGACGATAAGTTCATAAATTGACGGAAAGGCCTTACATCGGCTCGAAGAAAAGATAGACTAGTAAACCAACCAATYGAAGCACGTGACCCAAAATATGGAGATATATGCGGCTTTCGGTTGGTGTTCTTCATTCTTTCTCCATTCTAAACTTCTTGAAACAAACACAATACTGTACCGTACCTATGCARCTATGTCTGATGAAAGAAAGATGCACTGCACTTTTCCTATGAACACTTCGTGACTAAGGTTTTTTGGTTCACGCGATACCATGAAAATCCCACTGCCTGCTTGTTTTGATCGATCGTCCAATAGAGGAAAGAAGTGGTTCTSTCCCTGACTGTCATTTCCAATATTTGGCAGGAGTACCAGAACTGTAGTCGTAGCCAATTGGAAGACCCGTTACGCCATCGAGTTGCTCACCACCAGGAAATACGATGGCTGAAACAGAAACCCCGACGAGTAGTAGCRTCACATATTGCTATTTGTATTCCTACCGTACCATTTTGTCGTCAGACACGGRATGCACCAAGAGCGGTGCATGGTGTGACAAGTCGGCACTGCAAAGTGTCGCATCAAGGCATCCTTCAATCAAAACCAATCATTCCCATTTGCTCGTTTGCAGTTTGTTGTCTTATTTGTTCCCATCGAAACCCGAACACGGCGATCACAGTTTCCTTTGAAGACACGTTCCAGAGAACAATCTGTTCATTACTGCCGTGAGTAAGGCAATAATTTCTTCTGCACAACTGACTCAGTAGGAAACTACATAGACCATAATTTCAAAATTTTCGGTCAGACGAGGAAGTACGAGTAGCCCGCGTGCGATACAGTATTGCAATAATTTGACTCTTGCGCGGCAATATTTTAAAAATCCATGATTGACTTCTATGTACCTGCTACGGTCGATACCRTACATACCGTTATTCCATACAGTAGTTTGAATACCTCCTACCGTAAGTACTTCAGAACAGAGAGAGGAAAAAAAAACTTTTCAGAAGTACTGTATCGATTTTACGATTTTAMAAGCATTGTTTTGTACCACACATTACTGTACTGTACATACTTTATCATACTGCACGACTTTCCTACGGTACGTACCGCATGTGTGTGGGACCCTCTCGCCGCCGAGCCGGACAGGAATTTTTACTCGGCTTCGCGCTCCTCACAATCGTTGCACGTGCATTTAGGTAGGTTCGTTTGCGTTGAGAGCGCAGGACGACTACGTGCGCCACACGAAGCATGGCAATATGAATAATTCGRAATTTTTTCCCCCAGTAGCGTAATAAGTAAACAGGATTTTCGATGTGGAAGCATTTTTGGACGACTGGGCGTGTGGTAACTTGTACGGTTTTCTCTCKAGACGAGTGATATACTACGGTGTGGTACGTAGTACTCCTACGCGAARYGAGACAACACGCGTACTTTTCGCAGGAAAGGGGCGTTGTGTTTCTTGCWGTCAAACTAACAAGTAMCTCCGTAAATCTGTAGAGATAAARAAGATTGGGTAGACCAGAGTTACAATCCAACGYAACGCTTTGGACCATCCTTCAATTCCTTTGCGAAACCAACAGATATCATTAAAATACACACGATCGRTTTCACTCTTGCAACAAGATAGTTTGATCAAKCGAGAATATTTGTCTGGATTGCATTGAATCGATCAAGGAAACGATTGAAGGTACAGGGGCAACGAGAAGATACACTTAAYTCAACAAACAACAAACAACGGAGCCGTTCGTTTCACCGAGTGCAGTCGACTCGAAACATCCMACAAGGAGCCCTTTCACTTGCCGTTGTAGTTGTTGTAACTCTTACTTCCACCGTTCGAAGGAACCCGGTGATCGAGCTAATCGACACCGAATTCACACAGCACACCCCAGACAACCTGATTGGTTGGTAGACAAACAACGAACCAATAGCTATTGCATTTCCGAATCACAACWACTGCCCTGAACGCTTATTTCTGACCGGAACACAGCAGCATGGAAGAATACGCATCGCGATACCTTCAGGCAGCCTCCCTGCCGTACGAGACCGAGTATCTCGATGGCGCCGCTCAGGCTTCTGCCGAGTTTGATGCCTCTACGTCTCCCCCCACGGATTGGAATGATGATTGGTACCATTTTTATGAYGGCTACGTGCCCACAACGGTCGATCCCGACTGGTGGTTTACGATATACATCATCCTCGGTTGCTTCTTTCTCAATCTGACCCTGCCGCTCTGGATCTATTTGGGCAACAGGTTTGGTTTTCACGAGAAGTCCGTTCGCAAGGCCAACAAGCAAATGTTCATGGAGAGCCCCCGAACGGAGAGCCCCAAAACTGGGGAGGACGTCTTGCGGAAACAACTCGACGAGGCTCGATCGATGATCAGCGGGTACTCCTTTGCCCCCGAGGAAGACGGGGGCGGACAGGCTCCCCCCGGTTCGGYGGTAAGTGGTTCCATCGCCCTGTCCAGGGCTGGGACACACCTGGGCTTCCACCACAGACCCAACAACCTGATGAACGAAGATACGGCCTCGATCTTTTCCGGGACTTCGGGTTTCACCGACGCGATCCTGGGAGCCCGGCCGAAACGCGCCCCCCACGCTCGGCGACGCGCTGCCAAGACGAAGAAGATCGTGGGCAGCAAGTCCTGCGTCATGGGGGAAGAATCGGACCACACACGCGGCGGGACCAAGAAGAGGCTAGAYGTTCGAATGGCAGCCGAGTTTACGAAGGCCGAAATGGACCTTCTCAAGGAACGCAACGGACAACAACCGGAAAAGGATACCTACGAAGACATTACCCCCAAAACCTCGGCGAGTGTGAGCGACGTCGATTACGGGGATGCCGACGACTCGCGATCGGTTTCGACGCACTCGATGGCCCCATCGATTCTTAGCAAGCTCGATGCAGATGCCATTTCCGTGAGAGACGCGGTCGATGCCCGAGACGGCGGACCTCCCCTAATGGAGGACGATGTCAAGCTGGTCAACTACGTGTCTCCCGGAGGCACGGCCCATGGAAATGGTTACCTTGAGGCGGTCTGGAGCCGCTTGATGGCAATTGCGGACTGGGACAAGGAAATGAAGAAGTACATTGGTCTAGCCGCCCACTACAGTGCGCAGGGAATCCTTGACGAGATACTGGGTGTGGTGGAAATCGCCGCCATTGGTCACTTCATGGGTGTCCCGCAAGCGAATGCCTACATTATTGTGGGAACCGTGACCGGATTCACAGGGACTATCTCGACCGGATTTTACGAGTGCACAGGTGTCTTGATCCCGCAGGCACACGGTGCAAGAAACAACCTTATGATTGGTCGGTACATGCAGCTAGGAATCTTCTTCTACATGGTTACCATGCTTCCCGGAGCCATTTTCTGGTGTTTTTTCACCGACAGGGCCGTGATGTTTTACGGCTTTGATGAAGCCACGGCCGAAATGGGACGAAAGTACTTTTTGGCCACGCTGCCAGGATACATCGAGTACGGAATCGATGCCGTCTTGTTCGAGCTGTTAAATACCGTTGGATACGAAAAATATTGCACKTGGTTCACCGTGATTTCGAGCCTTTTGCACTCGGGTATTGTAGTTGGTATGCTCTGGTGGGGCGTCGATGACCTCTTTATCCTGGGTGCAGTTGAAACTGTGAGCGGCATYATCTGCTTGATTGTCAACTTGGCCATTCTGGTAAACCGCGGGTGGTTGGATCCTTACTGGGAGGGACTCTTCAAGACCAACGGCCTACGAGACTGGAGGGCTRTGAAGAACGTCATCAATACGGCGTTGCCATTGAGTGTTGCGTGGATTCTGACCTACGGAGAGTGGGAGATTATGACTTTTTACTGCCGATACATGAGCGACACAGGAGCCGAGGTGGCGGCCTGGGGTCTCATGGGATATCTATGGAGCACATTTGAAACGCTCACGGGTAAGTTAGGCTCAAGACAACTGCTGTTTGTGTTATGGTATTTGTTCTTATGTCGCAAGGGAAGATTTTGTTCTGAYGTTTTTCTCACAATCGATAATGGGATTCACAATATTGTCTTTATAGATGGATTTGGAGATGCCGCAGAAGTGCGTGTTGGTTTTAGAATGGGAGCAGGGCAGGTGCGATTGGCAAGGCTATCTACGGACAAGGCACTGTACGTCTCGTTCATTGTTGCCGTTTATGCCACGGGTATCCTGTTTGTCATGGCCAAGTACATTCCTGGTTGGATGACCCCCGATCCAACCCTTCAGAGAATGATCTTCGACATTATTCCTTTGATTGGGTTTGGGCAAGTTCTGATGGTATGGGGTATGGTTGCATGGGCCATTTTGGGAGCACAGGGACGAATCCGCATCGCGACGGCGCTTGAATTCTTCATCAGTTGGGGAATTGGTGCACCCATTGCCGCGATCTTTGTCTTTTTGTTCAACTACAACATCGAAGGTATAATCGGAGCYTTGAGTATCTCCTACACAATTAGCACAAATGTCTACTTGTATATGCTTCACACATCTGATTGGGAAAATCTATCTGCTGTTGTCGTCGCTCGAAGTGCCGCCGAAGGTAAAACTTATGACGAGTTTTACTGGGACGAACTTCCGGACAATATTCAAGATGCAGCCGCCGAACTTGGCTACAACAAATGGTAAGTATCACAAAGGGTTTCGTACTGTCTCTATCGCTTTTTTTTGTTGTAATTAGCTGACCCTTTCGAATCATTCTCATACGATGTCTTCAACAATAGGATTTGGGAGAGTGATGATATGGAACCAGTTTCCGACGACAAAGATTGGGATGAATTGACCCCTGCCGAACGAAAGGCAGCTTCCTTGCTGGGTTACACAAGGAAGACATGGGAYTGCGAAGATAATACCGAAGATCGCGACGACTCGAGTAGTTCGTCGGAGTCATCGGACGGTGAATCTTGGAAAAATCTTTCTAAAGAAGCACAGAGTGCAGCGAAGACCTTAGGTTACACGCAAGCAATATGGGACAACGATGGAAGTCCACCAACTGAGGAAAAGGATTGGGACGAATTATCACCGACAGAACAAGCCGCAGCGAAGACTCTTGGCTACAGTGAGAAGAAATGGAATGCGGATGATGACGATGAATCTGATTTATYAAGTGACACACCAAAACCCAGAAAACAAACGGGCAACGGAAACGTACTTGAGCAGGCGTTTGGATCTATTCGAAATGCGTGCACATTCGATTCCAACTCAACATGCTGAAAGAGCGCTTAACCTCTCTGGCGGTTCAGTCCTTCGTATTAATGCCCGTGCTCGTGTACTCTAGCATATCATCCACCAACACACGKAGAAGAAAACCAGGTTGATTGCTACAATCAACCCTTTGTTCTATGGCATGCGGCGTCTTATAGTTCAAACTCAGTATRGAGGAGAAGGAGTAAGCATGCTATATTCAACCTTTTTGTTACGAAATGTAATTTATGATCAAATGTAGAGACAAAATTAAAATTTCATCTTTTTTTAAAAAGACTCGTGATTCGAGTTAAGTTTACATGCTGACAACGATTTTAATTGCTAGATTTGATTTGCTGCACTGGAACTCGACAGACCGGGCATGTATTCCGTATCGTTAACCAATGACGTGCACATCCTTTGTGGAAACAATRTAAGCAGGGCAGCAACTGACATCTGTCRACAACCAATTTACCCCCGCGTCCAGTGCCATGCTGATCATACTTTCCTTCGTTTCCCTTTCCTATATCTCCCAACGAACAAAATCCCTGGAGGCAAATCGCACATTTACAGCGATCGTTGAAGAATGGTAATATGTCATCCACTGCTCTCGTTATAAGCTCAGCAGTAGGCTGCGAAGAAGCAAAGAATGTTCTTTGTTGCCCATTCATTATCCTCCTCCTCTAGTGTCGTCTCAGCGGCCTCCAAATACGCCTATGTAAGCTTTGGGTCAAATTTGATGGACTGGAACTATCACCAAAAATAACGAACCATACACAACCTATCTCTCCCCCATAAACTAGTCCGCGGATGAGGCCAAAAATCATCAACAGATCAATGTAGCTACTCTTGTCATCGCCACTGCTGTTATTWTCATTTTCGATACCAATTGTATAGGAACAGAGCAAAGGTAGAAAATTGTGGTGTTGATGGTACCAGAGCRCGCGAATGGTGCAAAATGCGCCTCCAATACATGCCCAGCTGAGAATGGGGGATGAATGCAGTGTGCGAATCAAAAGGATCGGTCTGGTCGAGAGTTTATAAAAGTTTCGAGTCACCAATAGGATCACAAGCATCGTCCCTGCTGCTGCAGTCAAGAGATGTGTGACGATACGAATGGTGAGCAAGSTCGCAAAGATCACTGACAACAGGATCGAGATGGCTCCGAAGACAGACCCAGGAGCGCGGCAGCATTGTCGCCCGTATATAACCAACGGAGGTACTTTGGCGATTCTTGTTACAACAGCAGTAACAGCGACAGTTTTAGCGGAGGYTGGAMTGTCATCAAACAGATTGCACATGAAAGGTGTAYGGACAGCAGCAACAGGCGATAATCTCGATATCACAGAAGGTGAAGKYGGGTTTCTGCGGTGGTAGCTGAAATTATTTTTGGTTAGCAACGATTTYTTCCATCGTTTYCTCCAGGCTGTATTATGCTGTCTTCCTTCTCCATCCTSGCCGAGTCCAAACACCAAAGTCTCGATTTCTTGTTCAACTAGATTCCAATACGATCCTTCTGTTATGGGAACATACTCCCTGCTTCTACTGGTTTTTGATGATCCGCGTAATGCTTACCTTCTCGTACAAGACGAAGMGCATGGTATATTGAAAGATCTTTTCCGCAGACTCATCAATTTTATTGACATCGAGGTTCTCAATGGACTCGGAGAAGGCAATTCTTCCCCGCTAATACAGAAATTGGGATAGAAGACTCCAATAGATCTTGCCTGCTTTCTTCGTTTCTGCAGCCTCCACATTGTAACGCAACAAACAAATCAATGACCAGCGGGTCGTACTGACAGTGCTTGAGGAGCGATTATCAAGAGTTGCAATGCCTAGTTGGAAACTACCTGCGTCATAAAAATCTGGGATTCATCTCTAGGAACCGAAGAAAGGATTTGACACCTACTTGGTCTTGCTATCTTGGTAGACTGCCAACTACTAGTACTAGCCTACTCTTACACATATTACAATGCGATCTACGATGAAAACAAGTACGTTAGGATGCTACTACGATATTACTGTTGTTTTGAAACTATGTACATAAGATTGGTACGTACGTTTACTGCATCGTTTCATCCGTAAGACTTATTGAATTTCTATTTCGTTGTCTAGCAGTAGTAGTAGTACGTACCAAGTACAGTACTACGTACTATTTTGGGACACAGAGTAAGTACGGTTAAACTCATTCTCGTTCTTGTACCTAACCTTCTGTACGGTGGGGATATTGAAACCMCCAAAACCTCATCGAACGCCATTGGATGGAGATTCACGCAGCGATCCCATTGTTTCTCGCCTTCCAAACAGTCTGGTACGATATTGCATAAGATTGATCGATTCGATTGCCTGATCCACACACAGCACTCAACGCACTCGCATAYCCGATAGMTCGCTCTGCACACCATGGTCTTGGCCGAATTGGGAGGCAAACTCCGCGAGTCTCTTCGCAAGCTGCACACGAGTTCCGGTCATGTCACAGCCACAAAACTCAACCAGGTCTTGACGGAGGTCACCCGGGCCCTGATCGAGTCCGACGTGAACGTCCGCTTGGTCATGACCCTCCGAAACAACGTCAAGAAAAAGGTGGAGCGTCTCATCGAAGACGACGAGGACTCGGAGACCGAAGAGGACAGCGATGYCAAGAAAGAACAGCGCGCGAGCAACGTTTCCAAGATGGTYCAGAAGGCCGTCGTGGACGAGCTTGTCGGCCTTCTGGAGCCCTCCCGAAAACCATATGGAATGAAACGCGGGAAACCCAACGTCATCTTGTTTGTGGGGCTGCAGGGAGCCGGAAAAACMACGACCATTGCCAAGTTTGCAAATTACTATCAGCGTCGGGGCTGGAAGACGGCCATGGTTTGCGCCGAYACCTTTCGGTAAGATCTTTCGTCTTCACCAGGTTTTGTCTGTGCGAAAGCCTCCGAAACTGGATTGGAAGAGTTTGAATACGCATAGGAGGAGGGGAGCTCGAACTGTACTGTTTAGATGTGTGGATTTTTAGACCATGGAGCGGCGAATTTTCTTCTGTCCTTCTCTGATTTTGTTGCGTTTTACTATGATTGGATTGTTCCAGTGCCGGAGCCTTTGATCAGCTCAAACAGAATGCAACAAAATTGCGAGTGCCATTTTATGGCTCGTACACGCAAGCGGATCCCGTGGCAATCGCCGAAGAAGGAGTCGATCAATTCGTCAAGGAACACTACGAGGTGATCATTGTCGACACGTCGGGTCGCCATCGCCAGGAGGCGGGATTGTTGGAAGAGATGCAAGAAATCTCCGCTGCTGTAGCTCCCGACAACGTTGTCTTGGTCATGGATGCAACGCAGGGGCAGGCTGTGTTCGACCAAGCGCAAGCATTTTCGAACGCCGTGGACGTTGGAAGTGTGGTGATCACCAAATTGGACGGCCACGCCAAGGGTGGAGGTGCGTTGTCGGCAGTAGCAGCCACCGAATCGCCGATTATTTTTTTGGGAAGCGGAGAGCACTTTGACGATCTGGAACCCTTCAATGCACAGTCCTTTATYTCCAAATTACTCGGCTTCGGTGATGTTCGTGGTTTGATGGAGGCTATGAACGGCAGCCCTGACGACAAGGAAGAACTCATGGAGAAAATGAGCAAGGGAGAGTTCACCCTTCGTGACATGTACAAGCAATTTCAGAGAGTCATGAATATGGGGCCCCTCAACAAGATGATGGGAATGGTACCCGGTATGCCGGAGTATTTAGTTCCTAAAGGTGGGGATAGCGACTCGAACAATCGTCTCAAAAAATTTCTCTACATGATGGACAGCATGACCGACAAGGAGCTTGACGGAAAAGTAGACTTTTCTGACCACGAGGAACCACAAACTATGTCACGCATCCGAAGAATTGCTGCTGGATCTGGGAACCATCCCAAGGAGGTGCAAATGCTCTTGCAGGTCCACAAGCAGTTCGAAGGCATGGTGAGCAAGATGGGCAAGTCCGGAATGGTCGGAAAGCAGGCACASGCTCAGCAACAGGCGCTGGCGGCCCAGATGAGACGAAACCCGAACTTTATTAACCAACGATTGAACCAAATGGATCCCAAGTTGCTGGAACAAATGGGAGGGCGTGAACAAGTGAAGAGTCACATGGAGAACATGGCCAGGGGTGGTGGTGGTGGTGGTGGCATGCCTGGTATGGGTATGCCTGGTATGGGCGGAATGCCCGGTATGGGTGGCATACCCGGTATGGGCGGAATGCCCGGAATGGGCGGAATGCCCGGAATGGGCGGAATGCCCGGAATGGGCGGAATGCCCGGTATGGGTGGTATGCCCGGAATGGGTGGTGGCATGCCAAGCATGCAGCAAATGATGCAAGCCATGGCACAGGGCGGAGGTGGCATGGGCAATGGGGGTCAAATGCCCGATATGGCAACTATGATGAAAATGGCTCAGAGCATGGGTATGGGCCAAGCACCGAACCGATAAGAATTGTGGAGCAAGGAGACACTATTTAATATTACGTACTACTCATTATTTGAACCATGAGGAAAATTTCMAGAAAGAYGTGCGAAGAATCAATCCTAAGCAGGGCGRTGACAGCTAGGTCATCATCGCACTTCAATARGACTATTTAATTGTCTCCCCAGGACACAGCAAAAAATAAACATTTGATCTGATGCAATACACAAATTTTTGTCCTTACTCAATCTTGCCTTTGTGCTGAAGTATYACTTCAAACAGGTCTGGTATATCCCCCATAAATTGTCAACAACCCATTTCTCTGAATCGCTCACTCAGAGACACTCTCACCACTCTCCACCTCCACAACACTATGCAAAGAATTACACAGAGCGCCACTCTCACCATTCTCCGCCTCCACAACACT